AACGCGTATGAGTAGGAAACCAAAGACGGTGATTTAGTCCCAGGAGAACGCTTCTGGGCATCGTGATTCCGCAAAACCGCAGCCCGAAGGACGGAAAATAGTAGGACGAGGGAAGAAACCCGGCGCCTTTTCGAGACAGGCGATTTTCACGGACCTAGACTTTTCGGCTTCGCGCAAACGAAGGAAGGAAGGTCACGCCCACCTTGTTATCGAGCACGAGTTCCTTGTCCAAAACTCTACTTTACGACCATCTAATGCGCGGTTGTCATTGTTGCACGCGGTACTATATCTAGGCCGGAAAATTCTCTGTTCTCGCCCGCCGTTGATCAGAGTAAAATCCTACCTACTAAATAACAAGATACCGAATAGATTTTACACAACATTTTTATGTAAAAATCACGTGTATCCAATTATAAAAAGGAGAGGAATGAATATGTAGAGTCTAAAGAAAGATCAAACAAATTCCAATCAATTATTAATGAAGAAAAATATCTACAAAAACTTGCATGCTATCTTAATAACGTATATTTTATCTTTAATTAAAACAAAATTTAGATTTATAGTTTGACAGTGAAATGTTGAAATTTATTTCAACATGTTGTTATTAAAACAGCGCGGTTCGGCTTCTGTCAGAGTCGATGAGAGAAGAGTTCGAGGCGAGTGTGTAATTAGGTGCGTGAACCGGTTCGATCTCTCGACTCGGAGAGAAATATTGAGCCGTAATGATAGAAATTAGGATAGACTTCCGGGGTGTTCTCGAGTATCCGAGTTGTTAGGACGGAATGCGCTACCGTATAACAACGTATCGTCGAAAGTTTGGACTAACTCTTCGGCGAAACGAGATAGAGATAGAGAGAGAGAGAGGGCGAAAAACCAAAAAAATGATTCAAAGAATCTGCCAAACACTGTCATCGCTAATTGCGCGCTGTAATTACAGATATTATTATATCTCATTGACAGATACGAACTTTACGTTACGAATTAAAATTGCGTTTTAATATTATACAGTTTTTTTAATATTGCATAAAAATGATATTAAGGAGAAAAGCTCTTTGCATATTTAACAAGATATATTTTTATTTTATCATCTTGGAAATCTCGTATTGTTTTACTATTTTCTATTCAATCTTTTAACTCTTTAATCAACAATGTTATAAATAAAAAAATAATTATACTCGATGTACAAAATGATGATCGAGGAATAAAAATTTCTGAAAGTATAAAGCGCGATATAACTAAGAAAAAAAAGTCTAGAACACACGCAGATTCTCCTTCACTTCGTCGATCCCTCGGGGGAGAAGTTTCGTGATGAGGGCCCGTGAGGGAAGACTCACGTGCACGAGACGCTTTTTACATTTTACGGGATTGGCATCGTCCCATAAATCAGGCACGGGCGACCATAAAACCGTGCGGTGTTCGCGCCGAGGGAGTATATCTCGCCGTCTTCTAGGAGTGTCTCTCCTGGAGTTCTAAACGCGCAAGCAGGCAGAATGCCCGGCGCCCTCTTTTCCTCTCCTCTTCTACCTTAACTTCTTCGTCCGAGGCGCACAATAGGACACGTAAGACATTGCGACATTTCGGAGCGAGGCTCCAAAGATACTGGAAGGTGTTTTAGAGAGGGTGTGGTTCGCCTCGGGGTACCTGGCTTAAGCCGGGTGCGCCTCACCCTTCTGGGGAAAATTCTCCTATAGGGAATTAGGTCTCGGGGTCTAATTAGCCGCTGCGATGATGTACGCGAAAATCGGGTAAACCCAAGTATGACAGGTAGGTCGCTTTCTGTGCTTTTAAAGCATTAGGCTATAACAAAAGAGGCTCAATGCTATGACGGGAGCAACTGGAAGAGAGCATTTTGTGATCCGGGATTTCTCCGGATCAAAAGACTGAAACAAGATTTGCTTCTTTTCTTTTTTGACAATCTCTTTTCAAATAGTCGTCAGTCGCGTATTTAAATTTCGAGCATTTAATTACATATCTTTTAATTTTCATTTCGCACTCTTCTCTTTCTTTTCTTTTTTTCGAAGAAAGCGAGAGGAAACGATTTACAAAACCCTTTCTCTTAATTGTTTGTCGTATTTTATTTAAAATCGAGATACTATATATGTTTAATTGAATTTTGGAAGTTGAACGATATTTATTAAAAGAGACACGTGGATATCTTAGCTGTGTGTTTACTGTTGATTCCTTCATCAATTTTAAAATATCGTAAATAAAATGACACGAAAACTAATACGAAAATGAAAGGTTGTCTCGAAAATGTGAAATAATTCGAGTCTTCGTTCACTGTATCGTCTCTTAATCTGCTAAATTTTATACAGATTACTGTACTGAACACGTATTTAGACATCCATTAAGTTCTCGTTATCCATTTGGTAGCTCCTAAGGTTCAAATCCCCGGAGGGCTACTGTAAATAGCCATAATCCGTGAATTTAAGACCATTCCTATTCAGGTCATTTTCTAAGCAGATTTACACTCATTTTCAGACTACCCCAACCAAACACGTCGATGTTCTTCACTTGACATTTGAAAAAAACAATATTATATTCGGCTAAAAGTGAGGCTGTTACTTATAACGTCACGCGACTAACTAAACAAACGCGATTAAACAGCGGAGAAAACGATAATCGAGAATCGAGGATTCGGTATGCGAAGTTAAGTTAATAATGTATTATTATTAATTTAAATTTTACATAATTATTGACTCTTCTAAAAAGGATATAAAAATAGTATAAATTATCTTATATTTATCTTTAATGTCAAACCTGGACATGCGAGAAAGATTGATATTCGGGATCGGTCTTCTCTCGCGTTATCTGTGAAAGAAGAGAAGCAACAGCACGAACGGAGAGAAAGAGAGAGGAGAAAAGAGGGAAAGAGAGAAAGAGAGGATGACCACGCCTCGGGCCGAAGATAAGAGCGGCGGACAACGGGCGCATCGATAAACTTCAATTTCGAACAAACGAGGAAAGAACCGGGCCGGATGTATGTTCGACACGCCCCGACACGATGTAAAACCACGGTGTAGCTGCTCTTATCTTAGCGGCCGGGACCAGCAACGAGATAAGTGGCCGTTTAGGCGATCTTCTTCGCGAGGATGGGAGGCAGGCTCGACTATGGGGCAGATAATCGTATTCATTTGCCGCGTCGCGGGAAGAAAAAAAGAGCTGCCGGAAATCTACCGCGCATCAAACGGCACGCTTCGTCCGTTTACCGCACTTATTTCATTTAAACGCTATAATTGTATGCTCTTCCCTTTTCTCTCCTCAATTTAATGATGATACATGTGAGATATCTCATTAATTAAATTAATGAGCTATTTCATATGTATCATTACTAAATTGAGAACAATATGAGAGCAATGATCATTAATGAAAGCAATAATCGCCGGTTATCTATGCGTTCAGTGCAATTAACACGATGACAACTCAATGACAACTCGATGACACTCACAGAATCCGTGACGACGTCAAAAAAAAAGGAAAAATTGAATCTAAGGCGTCTAAGGGAACTGGAGGTAAGGCACATGCCCGATGGTCGGGATTTGAAAATATCACCGTATCGAATCGAAAACGGAGACTAACAAGCGTGACGTCTCCGCATTCATCATGGGACACTTTGCGTCCTGATGAATCCACTTGTATTTCTGTCCTGAAGCGCCCATATCGCTCGTAAACAATTTTCTGTGACGCGTTTTTCGACTTTTTTTGACGATTCACGCGAATATGTTTTCGCGTTAAACTCTTGTCGATCGGCAGCAGAATTATTAATTATATTGTGTACACGATTTTTACTTTTTTTCCACAAAAATTTTGAGATTTTTAGAAAATAAAAAAAATATGCGCATTTTTGTTGCCAGATAAAAATTTGAGAAAAAATCTCTTTCTTATACAAAGTTCTTTGATTTAACAAAATATATATGTTATACTGTGAAGCCAGCTTTTGCAATAGGAAAGTTTTAAATATAATTTACATCGCTGGTTGTATCTTTAGCTTTCGTTTAATTACGATGCGCTAATTACAATGTCAGAAAAGTCGCCCTTAATTAAAAACATAGAAAATCTCGCTATAATCTTATTTAATTTTCTCAGAATATAACGCTTTCATATTTCTCACATTTAACATAATAATTTATTACATAAATGAATTTAATTATATACATATGTAATTAAATATATATCAATATATATCAATATATAATTACATATACATATTTATATGTATACATATATTGCAATTTTTTAATTTAATAGGAAGCAATAGGTTGTGACATTTGGTATTTAAAGAAAAAGAAAACAAATTTTAATCGTACGAAGTACGACATGATCTTCCGGTTCGGCGCTCGGGCGCATACTGTTGCCTGAGGCTTGGCCTCAGCTTCAGTCTTGGCTGTGAAGTTAGGTTTTGTCGTCAGTTGGCGACACCACTGCGCAAAATACTGCGATTAGTGACGGAATTAGTCTCTCGCGAAACGTGCAGCGTGGTGGACGCATGAATACGTGTGAGTCTGGAAGCGCAGGTATTTTGATTGAAAGATTCTTATGGAAGATTCTATTTTTGTTCGCATTTGTTATTAAGATTTAAATATGAACTTTTTATGCATTGCAATTTTCTATACTTTATTATCATGGAACAATATAATTTCGCTTCGTACGCGTAATTATATTTAATTAGATTAAACGAGATAAAAATATATAGGTTGTACAAGCCGACTCTATTTAGAAGATAACAATTAAAAGATGTACAAAAAATTCGACGCCTAATTTATCTGCATATCAAAGTATTGACGTAAGCAGTATTGTTATACTTCATATTGTCATTCTATACTATTCTTGTATTGTCATACAATTGTTTACAAGCATCTGTCGATAGAATATTTTAAATTATGACAGACCAAGGAAAATGCATTAAATGTATTCACACTATTTCCATTAATAAATATATCAATATATATTTATTTATTATTTATTTTATATAAATCTGATTAATAGAAATAGTGTGAATATTTAACGCATTTTTCTTGCCGACAATTTAAAATATTTTATTGACAGATGCTTGTAAATAATTGACTAGAAGAATAACGATGCGTCTTTTAATTGTTGTCTCCTAAATAGAATGGTCGCTCTGCGATGAGAAAAAGAGAAAGAAACACTCGTTGAAATACCTCGGCGTCTTAGGTCGTGTAAAAAAACCTAAAATCGTTAATTAATCACCGTGGTTTTTCCGAACAAATTATATATGTGCGTGAAGAAAAACACGGTGTTACACGTTCTTTTTCTTCATTCGTCTGTATATGATTAAGAGCAAACGTCCGAATCGCACATAAAATGTTCACCTTGCAAAACGTGCTTCGTCAGCATCTATTTAACGTCCGTTTAAAGCGACGATCGAAAGTAGTAGAAGCGCATTCCTTGGCTTTTGATACACGGCCTTCTCTATGTCTCGGGGGAAAAAAGGCATTTCGCGAAGTGGTTTGTCACCGATCGGTTGAAGCGACGAGAAAGCTGCGCACAGCAGCGACGAGGCAATATAGCGACGGTGGTAGTAAAAGAGTAGCAGCGGAGAATGCCGTTCCTTATCACAGTGGCATCGACAACCGTGAAAGATCTCTTTTCCAAGGTGGATGGACTCTTGTCCCTCTCTCTCTCTCTCTCTTTCTCCATCTCTCGCGGGTCTTCTACCTTATTCTTTTCTTCATTGTGCGACCCCGCTCTCTGTCCACCCTCTCGTATCCCCACTCCGGAACCTATCTCTCCTCCAAATAGGTCTTGTAGTACTTAGGGTTCATCAAGATAACTCTGGCCTGGCTTTGTGTCTCTTCCAAGAGAACGCTGCGAATGGAGGTGGCGGTGGATCGAGGGCGATGGGACGAAAGGGCGGAGCAGCTAGTAGGGCATATTGTACGGACGCTGCGCGTGGTTTATGTTTTGGTCTTTTCGAGATCCGTGGAGCTCCAAGGAGAGAGTCCCTCATTCTTTCTCGCCGTGACACATTGGATAAGTGCAAGGAGTGCATTGTAAAGACTTCGCGGATCGTTGATCCACGCCAGAAACCTGTCAGAGAGACGTTGCTCTCCTCCACACTTTTCTCCCATTTTCCAACGAAACTGTTCCATTGTCGCGCAAGATGCTCCCGATAAGATGCTCCCGATAAGTCGGTGTGCGAAACGATCTGTTAACAATGTAAATATTTTCACTGCCCGTTCATGTTCATGTTCACGAGAATATATAAGCTCTCACAAAACGTCGTCCATCGAAATCTGTGCAGACTGTCTGGGATTTTGCGCAGTGAATCATATCCGCACTCATATATATATATATATATATATATATATCGTATAATACTTTACTTGATATTTGCTTCGCAGAAATTTTCGACGGTCCGCCCCGTGTTATTAACGGGAAAGCGAAACGAGCCATTATACGCGCAACAAATTACGTGCCTCGGGAGCCCTACAGCGCGCTCTTCGTTACATACACGGGCAAAAAGATAGCTCATTAACTCTTACGAGCTCTTCTGGCGTACAGTACGTACATACAAAGTAACGATAATCCGGACATCGCCGCTTCGGGCGTATCACACAAGCCCGCCCATTCGAGAAAAAAAAAAATTATTCCCGGACGCGAAATTCCGGCCGAGAAGGAAACGAGAGACGGCTAAGAATCGAAGAGAGAAAGAGAGAGATCGGGAAAAAGACGCATTATGTGCTAAACTTTCGGCTGTAAAGAACGCATCGTCGTGTCGGTGCATTAACGTAATCACAGAGGCGCCAGATGTACTCCCTTCCCTTTAAGCTTTTTTCACCATCTTCTGTCCGTTTTCCGGATGGACCCCCTCGCACTTTACAACACGCGCTCTCTCTCTCTCTCTCTTTCTTTCTTTCTCTCCTGACACGCGTCCGTGCGCAATTAAAACAAAGTGACTACAGAAAGCGCATCCCATACACCTAACCGTATACGAACGAGAGTCGGCCTAAGTGGCTCTGTGACTCTGCAAGAATTCGATTTTTGTGATCCGAAAATACGAGCTTAAAGTGGACGCGATACCCGGTTCCTTTATCGAGCTGATTATTGATTAGCACATCGTTATCTCGTTGCCGTCAGATTGATCCGACACAATCGTCCTGATAGAAATCGAATATGCGACACTGTACGACCTGTCATTTATCGCGCGTTGCAAATGCACTTGATATATAGACACTTATATTGGTTTTAATTGGATGTTTGATTATCGTGACAAAGTATTGAAAAATAATATTTAGAATTATAGAAATTAGAAAAAATATTAACACTTTTTATAATTTAATTAATGAAATCTACAAGGTGATTTCACCGTATATTTCTGTTGCAAAAGAATTACATAAATTTTCCGTATATATACATACACAGACACGCAAATGTATATATACGTGAGGCAAAAGTGAGGTAAGAATCGCACTTGTTCGCAAAAAATTAGTAATTCCACGCGAAATCGAGTTTCTCCCGAATAAAGTCTTACATTCTTAGCCCGGAGGTAGGAGCGGCTGCGAGATAAGAATTTATCAAGGCCGTTGGAATTAATCTGGCATTAATTCTAATCGCCCCGGCGATTTATTAGGAGACGGTAAATCTGCCAGGAACTTCTAAAGAAGTAGGAAAGTTCCCTCGCGTCGAGCGAAATTGTGAGGTAGTTCTAGCTAAAAGAGAGCAAGCGAGAAAGAGAGAGGGCGAGTTTGGCGGCTTCTTTAATTAACTACCCTCGAATCACAAAATCCTCGTAAAGGATTTATGTTCCATTCATCCCTTAGCCGTGATAAATATATTCAATGTCGCCCATGTGGAAAATAATACCACCATGTTTGCGATATTATTATATAACAAATGTCAAACCTTCGCGATTGTGCGATGCCATTAAAGGAACAAGTTTTCTAACGATCGTACACCAACATAGTTGTCATAGTTTCTCGATCGTTACCGATTCATCGAACGTATTAAGCCGTTTGCTTTAATCGGACGTAGATAAGCATCGAAACGACTTCGGTTCTACAGTCCACGAAGTTAATGGACGCATTAACAAAAATACGCAAACGAAGGAGGACCCGGCGCAATTAAGGAGGGTGCAGCCTGTTCTGTTAATTATGTCGTCTCCGTTTTCGTAGCTGGCCAAAGATACCGAGTGAATATATATATATATATTCGATTGCTGCGTCTCGACGAAAGTATTTCTATTCCTTCGCGTGTGTCACTTTATCTGTTAGTGATTACTGCATTACATCGAGCAGAGCCGAGCTGTTCAACTGTGTTTATATACTTTTCTCTATATATCTTTCTTTCTCGCGGAACTCTCTTGCTCGATTGTTTGCTCGCTCGCGTGTGATGTCACGGGTTAAGCAGCTTTAAAAAAGGTTTTGCAGAAAGTGGTTTATTTATGATACTTGATGATGTTGTCGTGTCTGATAAGCAGACGACAAAAGACACGACTATTTTACAATAATTTGAAGTACCGAAAATTTGTTTCTGCGTTCTAAATCGAATTATAGCTTAAGAAATTTAACAAAAATAGATTATAATATTAATTTGGAATTTTTATATTTTATATTAGAATTTTTAATTCGTTTTACTTTTAATAATATCTGTTTGTATATCTATAACTTATATCACGATGGGATTTCAATCTCCATCAAAAATTTTTATAATTTAGAAAATCTATAAAAAGGAATAAAAAAAGAGAGAGCTAGTAAAAATATGTAGTAACGGTATCGGATACTCTTTTAAATTGAAATCAGTGTATTACTATTGAAAAACATTGAACTAGTGATCTCAATTATAAATGTAATACTGATGGCAATCAGTGAAATCTTATTGAAAGAATCATATATTTATAATATATATATGTGAAAATTGATTGAATTTTATATAAGTATGTTTAATTTTATGATATTTAATTTACAAATTAATGAAATTAATATTAAATTTGTAATCACACATTAAACAGATCATATACGTTAAACGATCTCACATATTTTTTATTAAAAAGATTGACGAGTTTAAAAAATATTACTAGCCTTTTAAAAATTATTAACCAGTCATAAGTTAATAACGGTCGGCTAAATGTAATTTTCCTGTCGCGAATGACGTTGAGTCATTAACAATGGTCATTAGCGTGCTATTCAGCAGTGCTTTATATATGATGTTAAATACGTACATTCCATTTAACAAATGCTAATCAGTCTATACATATACTTTTGTACTATCGAGTATAAATTTATAATATTCAAATGGATTATTTTCTCTAAATTATGCAAATAAAATCAATTATTTTCTTTTCCGTACACATACTTTATTCAAGATAGAGTCGAAAAGGTTTATAATAATTACGTAACATTTAATCTAAAATCTACGCGAAAGACAAAGCAAAATGTATTAAAGTCCGTAAACACGTGTCATATCTCCGAGTTGACGGAGTTTCCGAATAATCTGTGACAACCACGATCCATTATTCACGAGCTTTCGGGTAAAATTTATCCGAGAACGCGTCTGCGAGCGGATCCCGGTAACAAAAGGAAATCTTAAGGAAAAGTTATTATCGGCGCGAATTTGACTTTCGGGAGGACGGCCAACGCCGACCAAGAAAAAAAGGAGAGAAACGACACCCCCGCATTATCTGAAAGGAGACCCTGGAGAACTACTGTGCTCCAGAATGTATCTCCTTTGGCGCGCGTTTACTTTTTTCTTCTCTTCTTTCGCGCTCTCTCTCTCTCTATTTTCGCCATTTCCTACTGCCTTACACACACACACACACACACACACACACAACGTGTTCACTTACTTTTCTGAACGCGGATCCTTTATCCGAGGTCCCTTATCTCCTCGGTTACGCAAGTCAATGAAGGAGATTTTTCGTCTGAAGCAGAAAAATATACAAGTGTTTATACGATAATCTTAATTCGTATTATATTTCATTTTAATACATTATTTTAATTTTCCTATATAGCTAGCCTGAATTTATCCGGACTTGTTACTTCAAAGACATTCTCTCACACACACATGCAGAATGACACAATTCTATACGATAAAACAAAAGTATTCGAACTAATCTGCGGAGAGAATAATTTCTCGCGGACAGACGCAAAATAATTTTCACGAAAATTACTCCCACGTTTGCTAGACATTTTGCAATGTTCGTAGATGTTTATCGTTTCGAAAGACGTTTTCCGCAGACGGGAAAAAAACAAAAGAGCTTTCCCTTCTTTCCGGCCGGCACTCGCCGCACGTATTTTTAACGGAGAATAATAAATCGGGGCGCGCCGCGCCCGATATCGCGGCCGTTCGAAAACTCACGTAGCTACGTAATTTATGACTATTTTCCGCAACGCGTCCCTTTTCCGGGTGGGATTCTCAATAAAAATCAGGGCGGAAAAATATATGCGTAAAGCATCGACCGGTCCCGCGCATCGGGACGATACTCGGGTTGGGGTGGATCGACTAGGAGAAATCTCGTAGCTTATCGGAGCATTCCTGATTTCGGAGGATGCGCAGGATCGAATCTTGCCGTCCTACTTATTTATTTATTTTAGCTATATCAGTATTGTTGCTTAGATACTTGTTGTAAATTAATTCCCTGGTAGAACGAATAGATATTAAAGTAAGTTGACACAAGCTAATGATATAAGGTTGATATCTATGACATTACTCATTCTACTTTGAATAGAATATTCTAGGCAGCAATTATGCGCTTTATTAATTAGTAGGAACATATGTATATATAAGAGATCTAGATTTTTTAATTGTTGCTGGGTGGTATTTGTATCTGCATGTTGAAATGTTACGATTCATTCATATCTGCGTTTCTGCCACGGAAGCAACATTTGACACTCAACGTCCGTTTTATCTAATGCTAAATGTCCCCTGGAGAATCGTGCGCGATATCACGGATTTATGAAGCTCCTGCTATCATTCTCTTCGAATCTTTTAAGTTTCTCGGCAAGTTGTAGCATAGATATTTGGAAAAGCGACTGTCATCCGATTCTCTTTCTTTTTGACGCTTCACGATCATCAAATTTACTGTTTCTCTGAAACATTGTCACGGATGCGACGCAAGCTGGCGTGGATGGGAGAAGAAGAGAGAGAAAATGTCAGAGAGCGAGATCGAAAGGAGACACGCGAATGGACGCGGTAGCTCCGTATGGCGCGCGATGGAACAGAGAGACCGGTTGTTAAAAGAGAGGAGGTAAGGTGGAAGAGAGCGAGATCAGTGAGAAAAAGAGAGAGAGAGAGAAAGAGGTGGCGGTAACGGGAGGTAGAAAAAGGAACGCGCGGAACTTTAGAAGCGGCGGGAGGAGAAAGAGAGAGAGAGAGAGAGAGAGAGAGAGAGACGGAGAAACAAGAGCGGTAAAAATGAATCGATAGGCGGAGTTTTTCATCTCGTGCCGCCAGAGGCGCTCCAGGTGGGGGAGAGCAATAGGCGGAGTCATGCTGATTTAGGGCCGCCATTTTGTGACAATGGACGAGAGGGGGTATGCCTATCTGATTGGCTGATCTACGGACTTCTCTCGTCCTGGACAAGCTTCTACAGATTGTTCGGTTGTACACACCGCCGGGTACTCCAGCCACCCGGCAACCCGGCAACGCTGCCACCCCACAACGTCACTTCCCCCATCTCACCACCGACGACGACGTTGCTCCCTCTTCCGCCCCTTCCTGTATCGCATCTGCATACACTTGGCGTGCGTATGTGTAGCGCACGAGCGCGCACCGCGGAGGAGGAATCCTCGCGAAAAATTGCGAGCGTTTCGTTACACGACTCGCTTTTATCTGCCATCGCAGAAATGTTGATTGCGATATTTCGCTTCCGCTTAATCGAAGACGCTTCTCTCGGCGTCGTCCGAGACGGACGGTATCGCGCGCGATCTCCTTTAACATTTCTTTTTTATTTGGCAAAAAATATAGAAGGCCTTTTCGATTATGCAACAGCTCCTCCCACCCGGACGGTAGATTGATTAGATCCACTGGTTAGCGCAACACAATCGTCGAGATTCAACGTGGCCTCTTATTGCCTCACGATTGCACGATTGTTTCGAAAAGTTGTATATGCGCCGCTTTGTCGATTGCGACGCATATCCTGGAACTGTGGAACCTGGAACCGGAGTCGTCATATGCTCGAAAGAACTGATCAGAGTCGATTCAATTTGTCTCACTTTCATCAATCTTGCATCGAGATCTCGCGTAGAATATTGCATAATTTTGGCGCAAACATTCGTGGTCAATTATGTGTCAATTCTCTGTCAAAACCACGAATTTCATCGTATCGATAAAAGACTAAAAAGATTGTTGCGCAATCAGATCTTATTAGACGAAGAGATCAACTTGTAAGAGTTCTCAAACGGCGCGTATTACAATTATTATGTATCTCGGGTATCTCTTCTCGAAGCGACTCGGATAAAAACCCACTTAATCGTATCCAGTAGACGCGATGTAAACGACAAGATTGGCGTCATCCGGCAGCAATTAGCGTACGGTGGAAGCCCAGAATTAAGTGCGCGAGTCGGAAAGTCTCGCACGACCTGGGGCAACCTGTAACACGGTAGATTGTCGTCGCCGTCGCGCATCTCGCTCAGATTTCAGGAGGGCTTCGAATTTCGGAAGGCGGGTACACATGTATACATATATATACCATATATATGTGTGTGTATCTTAATCGCGGTATCTCATCTAGATAGGACTCTCGCGCGCGCGCGAACCGGCATCAAGATCGGCGGTCTCCGTTCGAGTATAAGACCGTGCATGTGTGTGTACACGTACGTGTGTGCTATATTATGTGCGTGTGCACGTATCTAGCCGGTAATCTTCGCGCCACGTGTCCCGCGCGCGCGTTTTGGGCTCCCGTTTTCCCCGATCCGATCTAAATTCGGATCGGTCGATCGCGCGTCTCTTTTTCGTCGCGGGAGAACCCGCACCTTCCCTCGGCCACGATACGCCGATCCGACGGAATTATTCAACACCTCGTGTCCGGGCTCGTGCTCCGCGATCTAGATAACCGCGATCTCCTTTCCGTCGAGGAGTGCGTAAACGACCCGCGCTCGCAATATGTGGTGCAACGTAATTTGACTCCCTCGCGGGACTCGTTACTTCGGGGAGATATCATTCGAAACGCGGATTCCCGGACTTGGGACATCGGGAGGAGTGTAGAGTAAAATGGGACATAAAAAAAGGATCGATTGATATAATAATGTGATTGATGTATTTAGCAGAAATGTGACTCTAAATCGAGAGGCCTAAGAAGATTGATATTTCAAACAGACGGAGTTTGTTTTAAATTTACATTACGAAGGAGAAAGAGAGAAAAATGATCCGCGATAATTTGATTCGTCGTTGCGTTACGATGATACATTAGATTTTCGATTGGCCGGAGCGTTGATAAATTGGCGACATAAATAGCAACGTTCGTTGCACAGCTCGCGCTGCAATATATTCAAAGTAGGCTATAGAAATGTATCATGTGCGTGTGCGTCCTGATGGAACGATTTGGCACCGTTGAGCCGCGGTATCTGCCAATCGGTGAGGACTGCATTAAATCCGCCTGGGAACATTGAATTTTCCGCTCGCGCGCGACGTCCCGTTGTGGGGCAGACCGATGCGAAACGCGTTTCGATATTATTACCCGGCTAGGAGAATCTCTTCGTCATTTATTCCTCAACGATATTTAAGAACGCATATTTCTTTTATATACGCATCGAGAGAATTTTCTCTTCAAATTTGCCCTGAAATGGCAATTGTAAGACAATATGATATTGGAAGAATTTTACGAGTCTCTCTCTCTCTATCTCTCTCTGATTAATATTAACCACAATAAAAAGATTGACATCTACCACAAAAAAGATATAAAATATGTTTGATATATTTTACTGTGGTAAATATTAATCGGAGGATCTCTTCTAAAATCCTCGCAATATCATACCGTCCCACGGATTCTGAGAGAAAATTCTCTCCGTGTACGAATGCACTCTTATTTAAATGTATACTACTTGTAAGTCGCCTAGTAACTGTGTTATACGATATGTACATATACTCGTGCGTTTTTCCTCAGGGCAAGGCACACTCGAAAAGTATACACACGCGACGTGGACGACGTTTGCCTCGAGTCCTTACCTCTCGGTAAACCGGTACGGACAAGATAAATGATCGAACGCGAGGCCCGAGTGGAATTACGCCTAAGCTAAACGGGGTGCCGCCTCCTCATGAATATTCAGTCGCGGCCAATAGAAACCCGTTTTCACGACGTTGTAAAAATTTCAATTTAACTTCATCGATCCTGTCCGTCCTCGCGTCATCCTCGGGACGGTCTCGTCTCCGTATATGTGCATCTAATAGATTCGTTACCGCTATTACGCTGATAATTGTAGGAAAGGTGTGCGCGCCTTTCGCGCACCTTCCCGCGTCATTCCCTCGCTTCTTCTCGTCATCGGCGTTGACAGCGGCGGCAATAACGTCGTCGTCGACGGAGGAACGCGATTCAGCCCGCGGGCAACGGTATTACACATCGGAGCAGAGCGCAGAGCAGGAGCAGGGCGCCCCGCGCGCTGTCATGTGACGGCACGGTAGTAGGGAGAAGACTGCTACGCCCGCCGGTAGGTTGGACCGAAAGGCGGCACCTTTGTCGGGCGACCTTTGCCGAGCGCCGGCGGAATCGGCCGAGCGCGCGGGAACGTGGGGGCGAGCGCGGCGCGGTGTTTTCATGCGCTTAGTTTCGCGCCGGTTGCCACGAAAGTCGCATTGACTCGGGTTGGTGCGCGCGTGCGTGCGTGAGTTTTTCGAAAAAGGAAGGAAAAAAAGAGGACACACTTCGCGGACGGTCGCAGCGTCTCTTCTCGAACGCGGAGAGAAAAAACACGGACTGGTACGAGTCTACGTTTCATGGCGGAAGACGGGGCGACGGATGCAACGAGTTCGCGCGCAAAGTTGCACTTTGCCGAGTGAAAAGGGTCGAGGGTTTCGCGCGGACAGCTTGCTTTTTTTCCCCGGAAACGAAACGCGAGGGTAAGAGAAGGAGAGAGGAAGCAATCGCTTAAAGTCAGCCGAGTATCGAGCCGTCTGTCACGGGACCGAAACTCCACGAACGCTACAATGTGCTGTGTGTGTGATGTACGGTGCAGTGTGTTGGTGCTAACTTAGTGATAACAACGAGATATATATAAATCCTCTCCTCCGTTGCACATCCCACATCCGCATTACGGACAAACTAGTCGCCGTGTTATCTCGCGCCCGCCGGGATTGTCGCCGGTAAAATAAGGTAAGATTCAAACAGAATCGAAATTTCGCGTAGTTGTTTGGGCTATAATAATTCGTTATCGTTGCCGTATTTTGCGAAAGGGGAAAAGAGTCAGCGGTCTATTCCTATTCTCCCTTTATCTCGTGTCCGCTTTTTCGGCGCTTTTCATGTCTCAGATATTCATGTTTATCTCGATCGAGACGTAAGTCGGAATTATCGCAACGCGAATTGTAATTCGATATCTTCGACGCAAAGATCGTAAGAACCTTAAAGAAGCTTGTCGTAATTATATCAAATATCACGGAATTTGTTTCGAATCTCCTTTATCGAATTGAATAGATTTTTATTTATAATGAGTGATTAAAGATTATCGAAATCAAGATCGCATCGTGGATTTTCGACGCGTTATGATTCTATCAATATTTATCATTAATAACAACTACTCGTCGCGCTATTCATTATTCTTGCGTTACTCCGATTATAAACTCTGACGATAATAACACGAGAACTGTCAAGTCTCGTCGTACATAATCAAAATAATAAGAGATCGTGTGTTTACATCGGGCGTTTCTGTGTGATGAGAGCAGAGGGAAATTCATTCAGTATCGCGTAATCGGTTTTCCTTATTTATTTTTCCGAAGATGTTGAATAGTACTTGATCGAGTCGCTTATTTTGTGTCGTCCTGCGTTGTCTCGTCTCGGCCCGAAATTTCTTACGGACGATTATATAATCCCTTGAGAGATTGTGTCTCCCCGAGACGGGCCGAACCGAAGGTACCGATCTCGAATTTGAAGTTTCGAAGCGAAAGCCGGATTCCGACGGCAGGTAGAGAATCGGTCAGCGGCCTATATAGTCTAGAATAATGCAAGTATCTGCGAAGGAGACCCTTTTCCATGCCCTGTCACAGACCGAACCTGAAATAATGCAACGCGACATTTCATGCTCGAAAAGTGTCGTTAAATTCGATCCACGACGAGTCTCCTCCCTTATTTCGAGAGTTCGCACTCGTGTATGTCATTTATGAAAAAGCTTTAAAAATGACTCGCGTATCTAATAAATGCGCAAACGTGGTATTTTATTTTTATTTCTAAAATCGTTATACGTTACGGGAATTTTTTTTTCGCGAACGGAAATTCCCGATTTCGCTGTCGGAAACACTATAATTATGCTCTGTTGCAAATATTCAATTTGTTATTCGAGTATATATGCAACTATGCAGCTATCTGATGCGTGTATTTGTGGCATGCGAGAACTTTCCTCGGTACGATCGGTTCACTTTCGACATCATCATCGAAGTGAGAATTAACTCGCGTCGATCGACTTGCATCTCTCGCCTATAGGAATTTCCGTAGCCTCTCTTCAGCAAAAAGAAATTAATTGTTACTAAACACGCGAAAATAAAGTCTACGTAAAAGCGACTGTTAAGGCAGAGCACAAAGATTAGGTTGTTCCTTTCTAAACTTATATATTCAATTTTTAATTAACAATATTTTCAATTTTTCGTAAAGCGTTTTAGCGTCTATACTCGCAATTGCAACATTTACATTTTAACGTAACATCTCGAGTCGCCTCGAATAGTTTCAATAAAGTTTCTCGCAAAGTATTGATAAATACAAGAGAAAAATAGACACTTGAAAAAATAAGGCTCGATCGGTGTAACGTGTTTCGTTTCGAGGAAAAAAAAATATAAAGTCCTAATTAGCGATGATGATATGCCAATACTTTTTGTCTTCCTGTCATAAAAGCCAAATGATGACGATTGACATTCTTTCTGTTTCTTTAAATTTCAGTTCTATTTCCATTCTCAAATGTCTCTCGTGTTTATGTATATATTTAAAGAAATTTCAAGCAGTTTATTTTAGGACTCTGCTTTGTACCTTAAACAGGTGTTAAACAAATAGCTTTCCACTTATTGTTAGACTTACAGAGAGGTCTTTAGTAAAATAGAACGAAATAGTTTGAAGAAAAGGGTGCTTTTTTCGGACTGTGTTTAAAGTATTAAAGTATTAAAAATATTGGATTGAAAAGTGTTGCTTCGACCTCGAGCGTCATTCCGGATATCGGTTTTCGAAAAAACGCTTCTCTTTTTATTTTCCCCGACTACGGAGGAGTATTGCGTTACCGCTTCTCGATCCGTCGCGTCGACCTTCTCGGGCCTCCTCGGGCCGACGCGATATCATCTTGTTTCTTCCGAGCTTGCACTCGCGTCGAAGCGACGACGCCAATGACGTTTCTGTCTCTCCTGACGGTGGTCGTGACAGTGCGTACCACGGGCCGATGACTCCATTCTTCACCCCCCGATGCGCTCGTCGTCCACTCGTTTTGGGTTTCTATCGCGTCGGTCGCCGTTAGAAACACCGCTGTTTCTCGGGGAATCCCGGACGAACCCTTCGAAACGTCAACGCGAGTAAAGTGTCGATGAAACATCTCGAAGACGTTTTACGTGACGAGGATATTCGTATATAATAATACGTAGACAATTTTACGAATTTTTTTTTGCTGCAACTGATGTTTATTCATACAAAAAGGTACAAACCTTTTAACGTTGAAATCTGATACGAATCGAACTATCTAACGATCTGTCTGAAAACAAAGTTCGCTTGCTCCCATTCAATTTTGTATTATTATTTAATTGGATAGTTAAGTTTGCGAGATTGAAAGTAGAGAGATAATAAAATGCCGATATATTCAAATGTAGAATATTCGCCCTTGCCACTTTCAAGTTACAAGGCCAGACCGATCTAATCCCGACTAGTTGTTCTAATCTAATCCTAGGACTTTGGAACGTGCCGCGATCAAATAGAGACTATCCTCTGTTCAATTGGAATGACATATCGGTGAAATAGAATTATTGTTGTCGGATCGAATACTCACCTATTAATTTCGATGTCGCGTATATGCGTGTCCCGAAACGTAGATATAGATGTATTGGTTCGGCGCTTTTGAGGAGATTAACGAATTTTGATAAGATTAGCCACGTGATACGTGATCGAGGAACGTGCGCCGATGGAGTTTCGTCGAAGAATGGACACAGTGATGTAACACGAAATCTAAAGATAAGATTCAACGCGCCAGTCTTAATACAATTAATTAACGTTTTTCGAGTTAAAGATGGGAATCGCAATCTGATAAATTAGAATCGAATTAAAAAAAAGCGACTGTCAAATCCCATCTGTGACAATTTTATAATATGATTTAGAAATTTAGATCAATTTTTTGATAGTTTGACAAGAACGAGAGATTTTTTGCCTACTGCGTTAATCTTTCACGCGATTTACAATTATTTATCACCGCGATGATCGATAGATCGCGATATCACGAGGAAAGTCCAGCGAAAACTCGTCCACTCGTTATGTCAAAGCACCGGTGAGATCATCTTTATCGCGTTAAGCAAATATATGTGTATATACATATATATATATATGAATAATATATACTTATCGAGGCTAGTAGTTATTTCTTTGGTGGTTCAACGGACGCGTTCCAATTTTCTCGAACTTGTTCTCGTCCTGGTCGCCGTACTGTTAATATTCGCGATAAGAGTCAAATCTGAGAAGTGCGACAACCGCTTATCGGCGATTTGCGCGTAGAAAATTTCGACATCTCTTTTTTTCGAGTCGTCCTTCGTTCTCCCACACGCGCCGAATGTCGTAATATCTCGGTTAAAGTCTACGATTTATTTTCGTGGCTGCCCGCTTATCTAGCCCAGGGCTAATCGTTATCGGGATTATCAGATCGATGAGATCGGACTCGCACGATTTGTGTGAGTGATCCGTCGAAAGTGCATATCGGTCAAGAGTCTCGATTATCTCGAGAAGGCTGGAGAAAAAATTGAGTGTCTGTCTCTTAGATTAGGAAGTTTTCTTTGCGTTCTATTTTTGCCACAGTGTTATGAGACTATAGGACATTAGAATTTAAGAATTTTATAATATATATACCTGTGTCACACAGAAAAAGAGAAGGAAGCAAGAGGGAGAAATCGACGAGAAACAAAGTTACCGCGTGCTTTTCCTTTTTTTTTTTCGTGAAAATGAGTATTAGTGAATATTTAAAAATACTATGAGAATATATATCTTCGCGGTAGTAAATATTTCGAGCATATTAATGGTTGTAACGACCGCTATATGGCCGCGATAAAGTGAATGTGGTGTATGCGTGCGCGGTTCGCGTGATTTATATTGCCGAAAAAAAAATATTATTCCGATCGTGAGATATCTCTCTGTGAAAAGTAATCGCGAGCTCGTCTTGCGATCGTGTCGAGCGATACAGTTTGATTGATCTGTCCAAATTTAGTTATATCTATGATCGATCGTTTCGATGTTTTCGACGATAACCGGCTAAAGTTGAGCGACAATCTGCGACATCAATATCTTTCGATGGGCTTAATTAATGAACTATTTGATGGGCTTAATTAATGGAACTATTTGATGGGCTTAATTAATGGACTATGTATTATGTATATTACTGATCGAGACTTGCCTATTAAATTTACACAGTTTATAAAAAATACACATCCAATACACACATTTTACAGGAGAGATCGCTAGTGTTGCAATAAATTTTCACGTTACAATTAATAATTGTTAACTAATTTGGTATATTGTCTCACTGACGTAATATATTTGCGTAAGAACTTATCGTCATAATACATTAATAATAATGACAGGAAAATCTCGATAGCTCGGCAATCAAAATTAATCGGATATGCGTGTCACATTCTATGTGGTATCAATCTTATCGATGTACGCTTTTTCGTGTATATCTTATCGCGCATTGTTTTCGAGTGCTTTATTTGCTCTGGGCAAGTAATTTTTGCGTTAGAGCGCGCAAAATGAGAGGAAAAAAACAGAGAGAAAGAGAGAGAGATGAATAGAGGAAAGATGTAATATTTTGTGCGCGCGAAAACATACTCCACTTAAGGGAAGATAGGCGTGTTGTGCGCCGAAAGATTTATTATTACTTTTGCGGCTTCGATTGAAAATGAAACCTGTTAACCGGCTTTGAGACAGAGAGAAAGAGAGGAACCGGTTCTTCGAGAAGAATATTTTTTCGCCACAAGCCTCACAAGGTATCCGGTTCTTGTGATAACGAAAATTGTCGTCATCGGCGAAACCGTACGATTTTCCAGAAAGGATATAATCTATCTATCTAATATTTCCGAAAATTTCACGTCTTTCGATAAGACTCATCGCTTCTCTCTTTCTCTCTCTTTTCTTTTCTTTTCGCGGTCCTCTAACTGGATTGGACCGACCTGTCCCGATTGCGTCATCGATGACCTTGATCGCCCACACAAGCTGATTGATAAATCATTTCGAGTACTTGATCGTCGATCGAGCGATATTCAGTATGTTCGCATTGAAGCGCTGATCAGGACCTAATTACCGTAGATCTCGTTGATCGATTATCGGATTTCGACGCGTTAAGTCTTCCATTTCGGTAAGTCTACTGTCTGTTCGTCCGTGTGTGTCTCTCCCCCGGTTTTATCGGATTTGCTACTCGGTTCTTTTATCAGGAGTGCTATGCTTCGATTGGAAAAGGTTCATAGAAAAGTGGATACAACAGACTTTGCATCAGATTTAATATATCAGACAATGTATTCGTGTTTTGCCTGTCAAAACAAAGTGATACAATATGCTTGATTATACATTACTTATTGTTAATGAATTTAAAAGTCAGAGCTAAGAAGCTCTTCAAATAGGTTTTTGTGTTTTTTGTTTTCTTTGATAGTTTGAAACGACCCGAAACAAAGCGGCATATTATATAGGTATCTTGCTTTTCTTTCAGCGACAAGAAAATCATTGTTTGACGTAGTATTAATTTTATTCTGTTTTTTTACAAGAAGCGACGAGATACAGCCAGAAATTGTTTGTTGCATTTTCATCCCGTTATAATAACGCAGTGAAGACTTTCGGATTGTAAAAAGTCATTGGTATCTTAATTAAGTAGCTCGATTGACATATCTATACCCTCTCCTCTCTCGCGAGTGATAGAATTAAAATGCGACGTCATGTAAATCGCAAAATTATTCGTCGGTAATATAATCGTAGGGAGAGGAATGTTCGCATCGCGTTATCGCGTTCGTCTAAAACGCGCCAATTAAGTTTCTCATTTAACTTTCTCATCTGCATATGATATAACGTTACATCTTACTCGACGGATCTAGCTCGATCCATCAAGCGCTGCTCTCCTCTTCAATCATTAGAATCATCACATTTCGAGGCCTATCAAGTATAATTTTGCATAAATACACTTATTCAAACTTCGTTATACATTCGTCTTAGATTACACTATTATCGAAGAAACAATATCCCTGACAGCACAACATATCCGAAAGACGTTTAGAGGATATCCAGAGGACATCGAACACTCTCTGGATGTCTTCTGGATATCTTTTGAACGTCTTTTGGACATGCGTGCTGTCTATAATGCGACGACCGTCGCATATATAGGAAGAAAGAAAAATGATCTAACTTCTGACTTGGACGTTGTTTTGCAGGGCGGAGAACCGGCAAGAAATCTTCGGTGCTCCTCTCGAGGAAATTAGAACCAGGATTACCTATGATCCCGCTGGGCGTCGCGAGGACGACGGAAAAGGCAGAGAGGCGCTTTTGGCAGCGTTCCTAATCTCCCTGCCTGCCTTTCCTCCCGTTCTCTTCTCTCTCTCTCTCTCTCTCTTTCTCTATTCTGCTCCCTTTTTTCATCCCCTTTTTCTTCCTCTCCTCCACCTGACTTTCGCGGTTCCTCGACGGCGAACGAGTCGCGAAGACGCATCTCGAAGACCTCACGTCGGAAGATCGCACTATGGACATGAGCAGCGAGTCGAGCACCGCTAGATGGTACGAGCCGCCTAGGTCGACGCTGGAGCCGCCTTCGGGGGGCGCCGGGGTGGCCGGGGTGGTCGGCAACCCCACCGACTACAGGGGTTACTATTCCCACGCCGGACCGACGGCGCATCACCCCGCAGCCGCGGCCGCACACTACGCCCACAGTAAGTGCATATATACATACGTCTTCTTTCATGTTTTTTCTTTCAAACCACCCTTCGCATTTTTTTTTTCTCTATCCACCCCGAGAATCTCGCGTCGCGACGGTTCAACGACCGAGCGCTACCGGACGTTTCCTCTGAAAAGGAATCGAGAGGTGCTCTTTTTATTCTTCTTATTTTACAACGGCGAATATGAGCGCGGCTATGAGGAGGATAATACGTATAATCTTGGAACTAATTTATTATAAGCTTATCGATCGAAGTCCGCCTTTAGTGATTCCGATGGGATCTCGAGAAGCTCTCGATTATGGCGATGGAGCTTGTCGCCTCGCTTGCGGTTCCAAGTATCGCGAATATTAATACGCGAGGATATATCGCGAGGATATATCGCGAGGAAAAAAGATCCATGTCGAAACTACATCGATATCGGATATAGTGGAGTCTGTAAAAAAAAAAAAAATAAATCGAGGGGCGACGACTTTGTTAAATCCCGAGCTCGTGCAACAGAAACACTCGTTATACCCTATAACCGCGTATTTCTTTTTTTTTTTTTTATTATTTCTCGCGTGTTTCACGACGCGGTTCAACGACCGTCGAGCAGTCACCTCTTCGCGACAGAGACACTGAGCACTCCTCATTAATTAAAATTTCTATATTTAATTAACGAGGCGTCTCCGAGGCTATCAGCGACATCAGATGTCTCCCTTGATGCATCGCCATTTCGCTCATCTTTCCCTCCCGCGGTTACAGATGTGTCTGTCTTGATAATTAAATGTCTAGGCCGATAGCAACGAAACATCGTACCATGGGGAAGCTTTAGAGGGAGAAAGAAGGAGGGGGTGACAATCGTAATGTGTCACCGGGACAGGGCTTTCTTAGCGCAGCGCTAATTCACCTCGAGTGCAACCGGGTGTACTCGAGCACACGCAAGTGCATGTCGTTGGCCACGTGCTGCCTCCTTTCGCGCATTCTCTCGATTCTTGCCTGACAAATGACTTTCCACTTGGAGCGACTCTCTACCCTTCTGTAGCGAATGACAGCGAGCGAAGAATATACGATGCGAGTTGAGGCCTCGACGGATAAAGGACAAACGCAGGAAACGTTTGATTGCTTGCGACGTAAAAAAGGAAGTCATATCCCGGGGGATGGAAGCGTAAACGAACGACACTTTGATGTATAGTCGGGGAAAAGGATAAAAATAAATAAATAGCGAGGAAGGAGAGAAAATGGACGAAGTAAACGGCATCGCCGAGAGGAAATTACGGCTCCGATCTTCCGAGAGAGATTATATTAGCAAGTCGATAAATGAGAAAGCAGATATACTCGTTATTCGTGCGGTAATAGCTTAATCAATCGAAACAGGACTCTCGGAAATAAAAGAAAAAGTGGTAAAGGCGAAGGCTTTAAATGTTTCGATGAAAAATCTTGATTTTTTTCATATTCTCTTTTCCTTTAGCTGATATTTTCATTTTAAATATATTCTGTCAAAGCTGTAGACGGAATAAAAAACGAATCCCTTCTAGCTCTCTCGAACTCTTCTAAGTGATTCACGACGTCCCGCGGAGAGGAAAAGAGAGCCGTTTCGGAGGAGAGGCCGATGGTGTGTGTACACACTCTAGATGTGCGTAATCTCGATAGCGCTCCTTCGGTTCCTCGCCGTTGGCCAAGCATGAAACAGCGTGGTATAGGTAGACTAGAGAACGAGAAGGAAAATGAGAAACGGAGAAAGAGAAGATGACTTTGCTAAGGCTCGAGACTCACTTCGAGAGGGAAAGATGGAAGAAATAAGAGTGCGAGGAGGCAAAGGTTAAAAAGAGAGTATGCGTGGAGGAAACACGATACAGCCGGGCCAGATCTTCGAGGCTGGAAGGCGATATCCCTGATTCGTGCCGACGTGCGCGGATCATACTCGGGCCTCTGTTAGCAGCCTCGTGGCTCCGAAAAACAACCTCCCTAATCGGAATCAAATCTACGGCTGTACGATTGCGCGACGTCGGGCAGACGCGGAAAAAGCGCGATCTTTTACTCGAGAGTTTCTTGCGACTCGCCGCCGGCGCGCTCGATTTCTTTTCTCGACAGAGCCAGAGAGAAGGACGTTTTTTCATTTCGGAGCACGAGCAAGAGTCGGTCGGTCGCTTTTGATTCGGAAAAGCTCGCCGTTGCGAGTTTTGACAGCTGTTAAATATCGAGTAGTCTTTTTTCCAAGTATTCTTATATGTTGTGACAATTTTCTTAAATCCGAAAACAACGATGTAACAGATATTTATATACATATACTTATACAAAGAATAGATCTATAAAATATATGCATACGCGAGAGGAAAACCGTTTAGCTTATCCTGGGATTACTAATATGACTAGGTCGCAGATTTTGATATTCGCCAACCGCGGTGCTTTTGACGTTGAAGCGCGATTTAGTTATAGAACGACACGATGAAATATTCGAGAGAGAGAGAGAAACGGAAAGGAAGAGAAACGGGACGGCGATATGAAAAAAAGCAAGAAAAAAGAAATAAACAAGATAGGCGGACGCGCACGTAGAGCGGGATGCATAATACACACAGTGGTTGCGGCACAGACAGGAAGGAAGCGCAGCCAACCGCGAAGCCCGCGGGGTCTGAGAGAGGTGCATACGTAATTGCGGGGCCACGCGGGAGGCGCTGCTTTTATAAGTTACATCTCTCCCTCTCTATCTCTATCTTTCCATGCCGCTCGTCGTCTCTCTTCGCGCGCGACTCTCGTATACCCTCGTTGTGTCGCGCGATGACGTACGGGGATTCTAGCGTTGTGTTGTTGGGGCCAAAGTGGCACGACGAACGCGGCCACGCCGCGTCGGTAGACAGACGCGTCGTTGCACCGGTGTGTGCAAAACGTGTGCAACCGCGACGTACACCGACCGAGCGACGCCATCTTGCGCAAATGCAGACGCCAGCCGAAGGCGGAGCCTCTCCCGAAGGGCCTCTCTCTCTCTCTATCCCTCTTTCTCTTCCCCCTTTTCATCATCCTCCCTCTCTCTCTCTCCCAGTCTAGTTCACCGTGGCAGATGCAGCTTCACCGCGATCAATCTTCCTCCTCGTCGCCGGCGCGTTTCGTTCCCCTCCGTAAGCTTCTCTCGCCACCGACACAGTGCGGTTCCTCCGCTCTTCGGTAGCTAATTTAGCGGCTCTTTTTTTCAGAATCGATCCCACAGATTAATTAATCCCGCCGACGTTCCGCGAAAACGCTACAAAATTCACATTTCTCTCCAACTCCCCGAGACTTCGAATTCCTCGCCTAGTTGGGAATTCAATTTCGCGGAATGAATTTGTGCTTACATTCTCTCGGTTAGATCGTCTGCTTTTCTACTTTAGCGTCTTACATACGCGATCGCGAGAGGGAAAGAAAAAGAGCGAGATCGAACCAGGGGAAATTACATGTTATTACGCGAAAGCTGCTGGGGGCACTCGACGTGAAATGAGACGTTATTTTCTACGAGAATTTCGTGCGCGTACAGGGATTATATTATAAGGCGCGAGCGAGCTCCCGCTGCAATACAGGGGGAAGAAGATGGTTCCTTGTAAAACCCGTGGGATATTTTCGGAGCATTCCGAACCTCCTTGATCGCGCCTCCAAATTTATCGAAATTTATGCGCAACGAGAAAAATATATTCTTGAAACGAGGTTTTTCGTCGGAGTCTCTTTCGAGAAAATACAGTACAATGTAAAGTCGTCCTCGCGATAACAATATACTTATCGCTCATTCATAGAGTTTTAACGAGGTTGACTACATGTTTACGCGCGAATGTTTTCCAACCGAGACGATATTTTACGCATATCGTTTCTTATTAACGGCGCTAATTGGGCCTGCATAGTCGAGGAGGCTCTCCCGTTTGAAAGGAAAAAGAAAAAATTACGACCAAACTCGCGTCGAGATTTCTCGAGCCTTCTTATCTCTCTCTCTCTCTGCGTTTCCTCCTCACTCGCGTTTTCTCCTTATTTACAACAATTAATGTTGCTAATTTACTCGAGCAACTTTTGCTTTGAGGAAGCGCGAACGCGCGTCTATCAACACGAAAAAAAAATTAATTAATTAAAATTTTATCGCCCGCGATAAAATATATATTTCAAGACAATCTTTTCTTTATTCGACGATTTAACGACCGCAACTCTCTTCGCGGCTGAAAGAGTCGTAAATCTTTCGCGCAAACGTAACAATAATAATCACTGTCCGACGATGACGTTCGAAGACGAGAGACGCCTCTTTTCGCCCGGAAACGCTCGACGTTAATTTCCAACATGAGATCGCTTTTCGGTATCTTCTTCACTTAATAAGACCAGCAACGTAAATCTCATTTGTCCCAAACTCGGAATCAAAGAACCGAAACGGGACGTGACGTCGAAGGCAAATGGCCGGGAAATAAAAGCGCGTGACCAGACGGCGCTTTGAATCCTTTTGACCCTTTGAGAGATCACCGTTTCTCTCTCTATCCCGACACCTCGTCGCACAAAAGCAAAGCACTCTCTCTCTCTCTCTCTCTCTCTGGGACGCGGTTAATTATTTGGAGTAGTCGCTTTGACACGCGCGCGAACGAGGGAGGTTCCATTCGCGAGATCAGATATTCGTGTCGGGACCAAGTTCTCCATCGGCCGATGTAACTACATGCATTTACTAATTATTCCGTTATCTAGCGACCAATGAGGGCGAAGTGGCAGGTTGTTTTTTTTTGTTTATATTTAAATAATTCTCCCCCTTTACCCCCTTTGAATATATTTCGTTGAAAATCTATGGACAGGAATACAGGAAACTTGGTAATGATAAGCGTCAAACACTCGCGGACCATGTTACACCTTATCTATATTTCATATATATTTATACCTTACTTTGTTTGGGGAATTAACTTGATAACTGATATTTCGTTTACGTAAACTTAGAGATAAGGAGAAAAAATAGAAGTAACTCATATATGAAGCAAGCAAAACAATCGACGATCAATGTCCATCGGATTATAGATACAGTTGACAAATTTAATAAAGGAAAGAATAAAACTTGTATTTATAATAAACTCGAACGCGAGCGCAAGCTTTTCTAGAACTTCAAATCACAGCTTCCACTCTCTCTAATCTCGAAATTTTCTGTTACATAACTCTTTATAATGACGCGAAGCTTCTATTTTTAACCCGAACTTTGTTCATCTTTTATGGATTCTACAGAATTTCAATAAATTTCATTTACATAGAAATTGAGTTCCTCAATTTCGTAATAGATAGTATAAACAAATAGTTTTTCATTCGAAAGTATAAAATAAAAGCTTTTTACGGGTTAAGATTTTTTTTAAAAAAAGAATTGAAAATTGTTATCAACTTATTGTATTACTAATTTATATATCTTTTATTCTAAAGAGAAGAGGAAGATGGGGACGCGGTTAGTATAGACGAGATTCTGGAAAACGTCGCGTTTTTCTTTCTCGTGGACGAACTTGCCGTTTCGTTGGCTGGAAAATGCTGGCTTTCGCGGCTTTCACTTCGCAGCTTTGATCCTCGCTCGTAACCGGCATGGAGTAATATAAATGTAAATCGGGACGATCGAGACTCGCACGTATCTCGGCCGCGTAATGAGTCGCGGCTTTTCAGCGATGCAAAAGAAGAGAGAGAAAAATGTCGACAATATGTTCCGCAGGTGCGCCATAAACCTGATCTATTTCTCGTTCATAGTCGGCTCACGCGTACCGCGATTATCATATTAATTTATTACCGGAATCGGCGTCGCGTGTTCGCTCGCGACAAGTAAACGTGGGCGGGAATCGCTCCTGAATCATCTCGGCCGATCGAATGAGCGATTAATCGATCGTAAGATGCACGAATTTAGAATATCCACGCTAAGGAGAGTCCGAGTTTTTTCCTACTTTCGATTTTCAATCTAACATCTACCTCGAGATTTAATCTACATAATTTTACCGAAAGTTCCTCTTTTAGATTTCCCAAATAAAAGTCTATTTTCGAAGTACCAAAAAAAAAAAAAATAAAATAAAAGCTCTCGATTCTTTTCTAATCAGACTTATCGAAATCCTCTCGGATGAAGGCAAAATTTCGCCTGTTCTATATTTTTGACAAAAAGCAGCAAACAATTTCCAAACATTGCCGCGGTAATTTTTTGAGCGCATTAGCGAAATAAAAAAAAATGCGGTTAGAGAAGCGAACGTTATCTGCCGTCGTGCCGATCTCGCCGCGATATAACAGTGACCGTATCCATGAATTTTTCATGAATATTCATGATGCTCGCCGAGCCCCGGCGCTATAACAGGCGCGCGCAAAACCCTCGGCTATTATCTAGAAATCAGCCGGTCGGATAATATCGCGAGGAGGAGAGGCGACGCGTATATTTAATGACGCGGCTAACGGCGGGAGAGAGAGAGAGGCGAAAAGTGCATTTTCCGAGCCCGGGGATTAAGAGACGATCTCTCTCGAATTGGTGTGAAAAAAAGCGCGATTTGTAACTCATCTCCTCCTTTCTTCCCCCGATCGACTTAATCACGAGTTGAAATTTGATACGGCGAAGAATAAAACGATCGCGCGGAAATCGATATCGTTAGCATAATATCGTCGTTAATATACGACAGGTTATACATTCGGTTGGTGTAGCTCTCGTGGTGGGCGTCTCGTCGATCCCACCAGGTCGGTATTTTTGGCCTGATGGACGGGCAATGTCGCCTTAATAGTACAAAGACGGATCCGAGTGAAAGAAGGACAGAAAGGGGAGATCATCGGGATTCTTCGAAATTCACGTGGTCTCTGACATTTCTACTGTCAAATTTCGGTTTCGTTAACAGACGACGATTATTCCCGAGATATTTTACGACCGTGGTATGAAAACGCGCGAGTGAAATGTCCTCTATTGTAGGACGACTTCTCGTCGATATTCGCCGGAATGTCGCGAGAATGCACGCGATTTCGAACAGTCGTCGAGAGGCCATATTGTCCGGACACGCTCCTCGTTCCACGGCCGATCGGCGACTGCAGATAAAATTGCGGGGTCGACAGAAATATCGCGTCGAGATAAGAGCGCCGAGAGTTATGTCAGCGCGTTCGTCAGGGTGGGACACGGGGGAGAGAAGTAAGAGAGACAGAGGGAAGAGTCCCGGCGAAAGAGAGAGGAAGGCTAAAAAAAGTCTCGTAAAATCCCGTAAAAACGGGAGTCGCGAGGGGGATTTCGAGGAGAGGCGGAAAGCGCGATAAATATCGCGCTCGGCGCGATGGAAGTTTTTATTGCGTCGAGAGTGCGAAGTGCTTCTCTCTTCTTGGTTCTCTGTCTGCTCATTTCTTGCCGCTCGCCGTCTTTATCCCCGTCACTCTCTTTCTCTTTCTTATTATACGAAACGGAGAAACGATTGGTTTAATGTTCATTCCTCTCGTAAATATTTCGTATAGTCAAATTATTGAAAAATTGAAAAATGCTTTTTTAAATATTGTGTGCTCATAGGGTGTCTGCTTTTTGAAAAGTTTCTTTTTACCTTGAAAAATCGGGGAATTATTGTGTTATTTAGATTGGGAATTTTTGTCAAAAATTGTATCTTTGACAGTTCTATATACTTTTATATTGGGAGCGGTCGACAATCAGCTGATTGCTGTCAAGTTGACAGTCATATAGGATCGCTTTCTTCGTAATCGCATGAATAGAAAACATTCGAAAGCGCATACAGAGAAACTTATTTTAAATAGCTGCATCTATAAATTTTCTCATTTCATCTGGAATTTTAAGCGAAAATACCTGCGGGGAAGATTGGGGGAATTTTTTTACAAAATTTGAGCAGACGCACCATGATACTCGAATTGAAAGATGGCGAAAGATCGCATTATAAAGGCAGCGCATAGAGATCGTTAACGAAGAATGGGGAAGGGGATATCTCTCAGAGTGCACAACGATATATAGCCGAGGATCCGAAAGCACAGCCGCGCGTAGAGCTTGTTTACTTTTCATCGCGGCTGCGCCGTGATGCAGCGGATCCAATTACAGACAGGCCATCGTTGGCCTCCGATTAATTACAGAGCCGCAGCTGCTCATCTCTCGCTGCCCCGCTGTATTCGTAATATTGTATTTCGCGCTCCTCTAAATTTAGACGGCGACTACTTTCCGCAGGAGACCATCGCGCCTTTGCCGGCCATTTGCTTGCAATCTCGCTCGCAATTTCTCGGAGCGACGACGAAGAAAGAACGAAGACGGTATATCGGCGATTTGCAGTTGCGTCAAAAGATAAATACAAGGTTCATTTCGCTTTACCAGGACGCTTTTCGCTCGAAAGCGAACGCTAGATACGGCGGCCGCGAAATTAATGCCGTTATTAATTAACAATTCGAGGGAGACAGGATGCGGGATTTGGTAAAACATTGTTCACCCTTGTTATCAGCGTATGCCGTGAAGGTGGAGCGGCGTTCGGCGTTGTTGGCAAGAACCCACTCGATATATCGATCGGCCAACCCTTGGGCCGACCCTCCCGTAAAGCGAGTTTGCATGCGTCGCATGTGCACGCTCTGGCATTCGCTGGCAACAATGTGCATCCGCAAATTTGCACGGATATTAAGAACCGCTGCACTTTCCTGACGGCGAGAGAGATGGGGATCGGTTAATTAGATGGACCGACATCGCCGTCGTCGTCGTCGTCGTCGTCGTCGTGGTCGTTGTAAGATAATAACCGGGGATAATTAATTTGATGCGTAATGAGTTCTTCGTACCGTCATTAATGACATAGGTGACCGTATCGTCGCAGGACGGTCATAATTGCCCATTCATTTTTGTCCCACAAACGTCACTCTAATCTCAGATATCGTCGCCGCGCCAGTTTTTTTTTTCATTTTTTTACCGCTAATTATCTTCTCATTAAACGCAATTGTTTTTACGGTATCGCAATTTTTATTTATAACAGTTTGCAAGAAAAATTGCCTTCATCCCTCGAAACGTATATATTTTGATCCTCAGGTAGGTACATTGATCCCGACACGCCTTCGTCGTCGTGCGGTCTCGTACAACGAGAATGGTTGAGGGACGGAAAACGCGCATCGTCGAAAAATCGAGTATATATGCAGCTATTAAAAAGTCAACGGCGAATCGTAGTGCGGAGTCCCGCGGACTTTTGCACGCGACACGACGGTGTCCGATTCGAACTCGGGGGATAGCGCAATTAGCGTCAGGCGAACATTACTCCGGTCCGGCATTTCGATGAAACGAACGGAACGAATAACGTCCAGCCGGCAATTTTGCACGCGACGCGAAGGAGAGAGAGAGACGACTCGCACGACGAAAGTTAATATCGCTAATCAACGGCTAATTACGAATCGGACGCTGGGCGATTTGCGCGTTCTCTTATCCGTTCGTCCTGGAGGAAAAAGACGAAGACGAAGGATCGCGCAAGTGAACCCTCGCACTTAATTAAGACGTCTGCCGCAATTAGAGTAGCCTTTACGATCGAGTTCTTCTACTTCCCGAAGAGATGACGTCTAGATTCGCGGGTACCATTTTCAGATAAACGATTTCGCATTCGTACGAAGCGGAGTTGTCGATGAAAAAATATTTATTGCGACGGCAATAAAATCCGTTTTGATAGCTAATGCGATCGCGAGTCTTCCGATATTTATTGCACGTGTTTTTGCATTGCTTTCAATTTAAGAACAAAAACAGCATTTACATTATGAAATATATGTTACTCGAGATTATTACGACGTTTAATTGATTTCATCAGTGGATATAAGAAAGAAAGAATTTCTTCATCTAATAGAGATATTAAAGATAAATAATACAATAAATGACTCATAGATTCTACAATAGATAATACACGAGCATATCGACATATTCCATCTAACGGACAGTCTTTCGTTTGCCTTTCAGCAAGGATGTCGAGCAGCGGCGTGTCGAGCGGTCCGGTGAGCCAGGTCTGCCGGCCGCACTTTCACAGCTCGGTTCTCCATCCGTGGCTGTCCAGCAGCAGCGCGGACACCTCGAAGCCCTGGGGATTCCCTACGACGGCGACCACGGGCGGCGCCGTGAGCGACGAGAAGCCACAGAGTCCGCTGGGATCCTCGCTGCCGCCCACCACTGGAAGTCTGTCGAGTCACGGTGGCGGCGGCGCCGGCCACCATCTCTTCTCCTTCCCGCCGACGCCGCCCAAGGACGCTACGCCCGATAGCATAACCGCGAGCACGACCTCCAGCACGAACAACAACAACAACAACTCGACGAGCGCCAACAACAACAATAACAACAGCGGCAACCCGCTGTCCGGTCTGGGCGGCGGCGCCGCCAGCGAGTACCAGGCGGCAGTCGCGCACGCGGCGGTGATGGGTGCGTTCATGCACCATCAGGATGCATTAGGAGCGTCCGGTGCCGGCTCGTGCGACATCAAGCCGACGGTGATGCTCGGTCATCATCACGGGGCGCCCTCGCCGCCGCATCAGCAGCACAACGGTTCCAACAACGGCAGCAACGGACCCGGCACGAATGGTTCATCCGCCGGCCAGGTGAAGCAGCGAGAAGGTAATAACCAATCCAGCAATGTGACGGGCAGCCAACAGGCGAGCACCACGCAGCAACAACAGGACGCGTATCAGAGCAACAACGGCGTGCCAGCCGGTGGCGGCGGCGGTGGTGGTGGCGGCGGCGGCGGCGGTGGCGGCGGCGGCGGCGGCGGTGGTAGCTCCGCTGCCAGTGGTGGCAGCGGCGGTGGCGGCGGTGGCGCGGTCTCACCCTGTAGAGATAGCTACGCGGCCGCGGCCGCCGTCGCGGCTGCGGCTGCCAACAGCCACCATGCCACTTCCGGTTCCCAGTACGACCCAGCCGCGAGCGCGTACAACATGTATCAGCACCTGCAGTATCCCGCCTCCGCCCACCATCACCATCATCATCATCACGGCGCCACCTCGGCGTCGTCCACCGCCGCGTCGTCCCACAATCCGCATAACGGCGGTGCGATCGCCGGTATTTTCGGTCACCACGCCGCCGGTGCCGGGAACGCGCCCGGCGGCGGCCTAACCGGCGTCGCGGACTCGAAGCTGCTAGTCGGTCACGCGCACGGGAACACGCCGGGCTCGCCCTCCGCGCAGCAGCAGCAGCAGCAAAAGCCGAGGAACAAGTCGAGGACGTCCGCCGGTAAGCGGCACCGCGCGTCTCTATCACGGTTCTCTTTTCTTTCTGTTCGGGTTTTTCTTGGGTTCCCGTTGTTGTTTCCTTCAGTTTCATTCGATTTCATTTTTACGTTTTTTTTTTTTTTTTATTCGATTTTATCTTTTTCTTTCATTGATGCTTATATTTTTTTTTTTTTCATACGGGAAAAATGTTTGGAAAAATTATTTAGAGTCGAGTAGAGATGCTCCATCTTTGTAGGTTCTGTGAAAATTTTGGAGAGATTTATAGACTGCAATTTTTTAAATTTATTCGGAGATTTTCAAGTACATTGTTTAATCTTTTTTATTTTTTAAAGCTTACATCTTTATGATAAGAATGATAAATTACATTTTTCCCGTACAAAATATGTTGACATTTCTTTTCTCGAATTATTTATGTTTCTTTGCATCAGTGCTTTCAGCATTTTTAGTTCTGCTTCAATGCATCGACGTCGATTCTTAAAAAGATATCAATATGCAAATTTCAAATAGTTTTTTTTTTTTATCTCATTCATTGTGTGTGATTATTGTATTACACCAAAGAATTTGATTCATGATATTTGATAAATTTATTTAATTAGTTTATTAAGTCAACGTAGAAAAATCGACACCAATGCATTTTTTGCCTAATTTTGTAATCTCTCTCATTCATTTTACGTTAATTAAAGTTTATATTTTTATTTTATTTTAAACGATAATTTTTTTAGTTTCTTCCGAAAATTATTTCTATTTTATCTGTATTCTCTTTCATTCGACGTCCAGACGGTATACCTCTGAAAAATACTTGGGTTACCAGTCTGGACGCGCAAACAGGGGAGAGAATACAGACTATCTATATTCTTATTGTTTGATTTTGTTTTTTTATTTTAACCGTGAGCTTTCGGTGGCGGTCGTCTTACGCTTGAAGTTCGTTCAGAACACGTTTTTTCCACCCGTTTCTCTTTTTTTCGGTCGAACAATATCACGCAATAGTGAGAAAGAGAGGGAGGGAGGCACTGTGACTGTGATCTTTTGTATTTTGCCTCACTGATGTGTTTTTTGCGTGGCACCCACTCGAAAGAGCGAGCGCGAAGCACCACACCCGATTTTCAAGATGTGACACACAATATATATATCTATCTCTATGTATCCCTATATATCTATATAAATACACATACATATAAATATATATATACACATACACAAGAATACATACACGTCGTACATGCTCAAGTACACGAAGAAGAGCACAGATTTTTTTTTCGATGTGGTGTGGCTAGCGCTGCGTTTTTGTTTTTGTCACGGCAAAGCTCCCTCTCAAAGAGTCCACGGACCATTTTTCGGCGAATATTTTTTTCTCGTCCCGCGAAAAAAAAATCCGCGCGGGTCCGCCGATCATAATTATCGCTCGTAAAATCGCGCAACGACGAGAGAGTCCTTTGGGGAGTTTTTTTTCCTTGTAGAAAATTGTGTCGCTCGCTCTCGCGGTAACGCTCGTCGCGGACGAGGTCGAAGAAGGAGGAGGAGGAAGAAGGTGGCGGCGGTCTCCGCGAAGCGGGGAAATGAGAAACGGTTGAAAAATGCCGGATACGCTGATTGCGGTAATAATGGCCGGTTGCTTCGGCCAGCGTAGCGGCGCCGGCGGCGTGGTAAAAATCCCAATTCCGGGAACAATGGCCCCCGGCTTCGCGGCATGGAAGCCCGCTAATTGAATCGACTTACGACACACACGCACACACACACATACACACGCGTTGGAGCCTCTCTCTCTCTCTCTCTCTCTCTTGAAGAAGAAGAAGCCAGACGGAGCACCCGCGGTTCGTTTAGCGACCGTACATCGCCGCGATCGCCGGGAAAATCGCCCGTGAGAAGGCCACGAAAAGCGGTTTTCGCAGGAGACAGCTATGTACTAGAGTCTGTCAGCGAGAAGCCGCGCTCGAGAAGAAGAGAGCTGTCGTTTGAGCAATGTATACCTCGTAAACGCTAGACATAGGATTGGCAAATATCCTTTTGCGCGCGACGACCCGGGCGAGGAGAAAACAAATCCGTCGAAGAGTCGAAGCATCGAGAGTGGAAACAAGGAGCAGAAGCTTCAAGCGGGGCAAGAATCCCGTTAGAGTTTCGAGAGAGAATTCGCGACGAGTAATTAGCGGAGGAGGAGAGAAAGCTGAAGAGAAATGAGAGACAGAGAGAGAGAGAGAGAAAGGTAGTCGTGGACCAGCGCGAAATTTGTGACGGAACGCCGCTTCCCTCGTACTGAATCATAACTCGGCCGCTGATGACAGAAGTGGCACGGGACAAGCGGCGGTTTCCTTCCGCTCCGATCCTCTTCTTTCGCGCTCCAACGACCACCGGTGCCCCTCGGGTCTTAAATAATATCCTCGCCCCGTTATTGTTTCTACGATCGACAATAGGTACAATCGCCGATTTTCTTTCCAGCGGCATTCGTTCCTTTTATCTAGATGACATAGAACACTCGGTGGCCAGTTTAATGTATATTTTATTTAATGGGAAAATTATACGGACATATATGAAATTATGTTAGGTATACATATGTTACAATGTAATATTTCTTTTTGTCGAAAAACGCGATGCAGGGTTTCGTGTCGTAATTCGGAAAGTATCGGGAAAGAGTCGAAGCGGAAGCGCGCGCCTAACGAGCGCTTTGTTGTTGCATGCCTAGTGTTTTAAGGTCGAAGGTGACGACGAAAACGGGAGAGCGGAGCCGATTCCCTCAGGGGTGAAATCGGCCGTTTTACCGTCACCTTTTGACACGAGAACTATATTTCCAGTACGACGTAAACGAGCGTCACGTCGGTGTGTTTCGTGGCTGATATCCATCTTCCGCGCCGGAAACTGTCTGCCCGTTCCATCGGATCGATAAGTCGGAAGGCATATCGGCGGTATAAGGAAAAATACCCTCGACTATGGAAAACTACCAACGATGCAACGAGACCGTCATCATCGTTCGCGTCAAAATTTATCGATAATAAATTAAAAAAAAAAATGTATTGGAACGAGAAGGTCGCGATTTATTCAGCAATCAGCGTCGTCGAAATCAAATCAAAGAGCAACGAGAAGGAATCGAGATTGATCGCTAACTCGGTTATTGTCGACACAAGGGATCAGGAGTCGTTGCAGCATCAAGGATGGACGCGATAGTTCCGCTCGTTATCACCCTCCGAATCTGCTCCCCGGGATTCGATAAGACCGAAATCGAATTAAGGGTCCTTCCAATTAGTTCCGGGATCGATCTGGCCACCGAAACGGCAATTAGACGAGCGTTAAAACCTCAGTCGAGTCCGGTTAGCGAGAGAGAGAGGAGTCTTACGTGACACGACAGGATCGTTCGATCGGCTCCGTTATAAAATCATCTGCATACATACGGGGTGGGACTCGCAAACGAGCCGCTCGCGTGTCGGCAATTATTATATATGTGCGACCTACGTTACGTGCGCCGGAATTATCCCGCCGCCGTCAAATTTCGCTGTTAAATCGAGGTCGGGTCATTAATCAGCGACGCGCGGTTCAATCGATATCGTGATTACACACGATCGTCCGACACCTTTTTCGGAATTAATATCGTCTTCCAAACGCTACATCTTCCTTTATAAAAACGTCTCTCTCAATAGTAAGTCCAGATATATTTTTCCTAATATAAATTTTACAAGGATGATCGAAAGATCGGAACGTATTACGAGCGAATAACGGAGAAATATTGAACGACAGATCTGATTAGCGCCGAAGGACTCGCAATCCTAATAGGTAGGTAGTCGTAGGGCGGCTTTTACGAGCATCGTTAAGATCAGCGGAATGGCCGGCGGAACGATACCGATTTACTTTTACGTCGCGAATCGCGCTGGATCGTATAATCGCGAGCAAGCGATCGGCAACGGAACGACTCTCGACGACGACGGTGACGCAGCTTAATAGTGATCCTTTTCAGTATAGTGGCCGATAAACTCCCCGCGGAGGACGCAGCTCGGAGGACGATTCGAGAGACGCGCATTTCGGAAGAAGCGAGATCCTTGCTGTCACTTCCCTCTCCTTCGCGAGGATATCCTCATTTTTATCTTTGATATTTGGAGATATCAATTTGGATGCCTTATTCTTCGTGTCACCTGATCTGTGTGGATGACAGATCGGGAGAGACGAATCGCGAACGAGATGTCCTTCGTCCTTTTGGCTCCTCTTATTATATTCGGCCCCTTTTCTCAGGGGTGTCCTTGGGACTAACCAATCGCACTGGCGTAAGTTCGCTCCGTGAATCCTACAAAAGTCCAATGGTCTTAAAGAGACTCTGCTTTTGCTCTGGTAATCGCTTGGTATGGTTTGTCTGCAACTGCATGCGAATTTCTCTCTCACGAGTCACCTGACTGTTTGCAAATCTCTTCGTGAACGCACGTTGATCCGTCCAAGTTTATTTTTTTTTTTCGTCGAATTAAAATTTTCACTTTTATATCGACTTTATATAATAATTAAAAACATATTTATTGATATATCAAAAAAAAATTATATTTATTATATATGTATTTGTAAAATTATGGAAATAATACTAAATAAATTAAAAGGGTGCATATATATAATGTAAAAAATGACATTCTCGTCATAATTAAAATCATCGAAAATATATTCGCGATAGTTTACATTTTTTATAATAAAAAAAAAATGAAACGACGAGCGCCTTCGGGCGATCAACGTGCTTTCGAAAGTTCGCGCGAGAAACGTCAGAGAAACGTCAGAGAATGCCAAAAATGTGCCAACTTGACAGAGGTACGTTAAAGAAAACCGCTTCGGCGATTCGACCTGACGTTTCGCGCGCGAACGCGGAGTGAAATAAATTTAGCGAATTACACATGTCTGGATGTGAATTAACGTGATTTTCGTTTCGCCGGGATAATCCCGATAGAGGGTCGCGAGTGCGTGAATTGCGGTGCTACTTCGACGCCGCTCTGGAGACGGGACGGCACCGGCCACTACCTCTGCAACGCCTGCGGGCTCTACTACAAGATGAACGGCCAGAATCGACCCCTCATCAAGCCGAAACGACGCCTGGTAAGTACCTAAGCTGCTTCACTTTTTCTATGCGATTACCGCGTATTTCAGCGAAAGTGCAGCGTAATCCGAAAGTGATCGATTATGATCTTATTCTTCCACATTTATATTTCATCAAATTGGCATCTCTTATAAGGTGCTATGAAAAATGACGAGGAAATAATTAAACATATAATTTAAATTTGGTATATCGATGACATACGGGAAACTAATTCGATGTTTCAATCTTGAAAAAAAAATTCTACTACATATACACGTGAACGCACGCCGTATTCGTAAAAGTGCGTCCTTGATCGCTTCCTTCGTACAAGCGAGATACACATACTTAATTAGCGGAGAGAGAGAGAGAAGCCGAGTTATGCGTTTCTCGCGCCGTGTAGACGTAGTAATCAGAATGCAAGATAAAACAAGGCCAAGTTAATTTCCTGTACCCGCTGATTAATACCGCATGTGCTCCGCTCTTTTCTCTCCGTTGTATGATTAGCAACTCTATCGCCCCGATGACGGCGGGTCGAATGATTTTCGTCGTGCGGAGAATCCTCCTTGATATATCCTCCGTAACGAGAACATCTCTTATTCTTATATCTCAGGGGGAACACCTTAGTCACGTCGAAGGTGAGATCTTTACGATTTAATCAATTCAAATTGATTGTTTTGAACGATGCGAGACCCGAGTAAATTTAATTTTATTTTTACGCGAGACGTGTAATTTTTTTGTTTACCCGCGATGAAAGATTGAAGAAAATCTAGTATAGGAGATATCGCAAAATAATCTTATGAGCATCGAGTTATTTATAGAATTTATAAAGACTCTCATTATAAATCTTTCAAGTTTTAAGAATCGAGCGTATACAGTCATATATTAATTAATTTCGTGCAAATTATACAGTCTCTTAAACTGAATCAGGGATAATGTCACTGAATAAAGCAGAGACACAAGTTTTCACCAAAAAAATTATTATTAATTATTTTAAATTACATGTACATAATTACAAGATGTGGTGGTTTCATTTTAAATTTTTTTGGGAAAAGTTTTCACACATAATATTACTTTATTACTTTATTTTTAAAATGTGATAAACTCATAAAGAAATAATCATTCTTAGTCAGACATTTCTTTAAGAAATGTATTGCTATAAATGTATCTCAATGATAATGAGATGCATGTTAAAATGTTAATCGAAACAGCTGTTGCCAATAATTGATTCTCTCAGCGATCTCAGCGTCGATTCCATCGATCGTGTGTATCACATATAAAGAACCTTAAATTTTCCCTTAGTTACAAAAGAAACAGAGATCGTTTTCACGAGCGCGTGTTTTCAATCTGAGAAGCTCTGTGCACAAACATATAGTATATACACAGGGACGATCGATATCGCAGGAAAACGGTAGCCGCGGAGGTTTCGTGCGATCGGCTCGTAGAATTCGTGTGAACTCGATCTATTTTTGGCAACTCGGCTCGGCACCTATGTAGATGGAGCAGCCTCGTCCGAAGTACCGATGCGGAAACTCGATACCGACCCTGCTCTTCCTCCTTCCTTCCTTCCTTCGTCGTCGTCCGGACTCTCTTCCTGGATTCGATCTGGCTAAACACTCACGAGAATTCGCGGAATCGATCACGAAACGCGACCGCGCTTATAATACGCTCTTCGTCCCTTTATAATCGCGGAAGGATCGAATTTTTTTCCCTTTATAATACATCTTGAAATATATATTATCTTAGGCATTTGAAGAAAAATTAATTTTTTCCCATGTAATTTTGGGATCTTTTCGCTAAATCTCGATAGAGCGCGAAAAAAAGAGAGAGATTTTGAAGGATCAATTAGACTTGGCACTTTCGCGGACGTCAACCCTTCTCTCTCGCTCCAGATCTCGTCTACGTCAAGACGAGAGCGCAACGAATTGCAACGAACACGATTGCACCGACGCAGCGATTTTCACTATCCCTCTCGTTTCGTTGCGCACTTTCTCCTCGGTGCGCGATAGAGCAAGGTTGATGGATTCAAAAGTTTTTTTCACCGGCCGGCGTCGCCGACGCGTAATTATATATTATATGCCGACCGGCACGCCACGCGTTAATTGACCAAGTTGTACAAAACAGTGCAACATGCCGCGTAATTTCTCGCGAGCTTCTCTTTTTTTTTCTGCGCTTAACGCATCGCGATCGCGATCTCTTCTTTCGTGAAACGCGCCGCGATTTTGTTCGAAACCTTTCGCGTTTTCAGAGGAAAGTCCTTTCTTCGAATCATGTTGTAAAAAAATTTAATTAATTGTCAGATTGTATCAAGAAATAGCAAATACATTTAAAAAAATGAGATCTCGAGGAGGATAATATGAAGGAGAGATATCTAGAAAGAGACGAAATTGATCAATCGATTCGTGTCTCGAAGGACGTTTTCTACGCATATTTAAAGTGCGTCCGCAATTTGTCCATCGTCACTGATTAAACAGAGACAATCGTTTCGCGCATTCGCCATGACGACCCATACAAATATTGTGACGCGATGATGAACCGACACGCCCACCCATCATTCATTTGCTTGCATACACGCGTGTGTGCGTGCGTAAAAGCGCGGTCGATGGAATATGTATCGATTTAAAAGCCGTGTTGGGCGTGCACGGGACACTTATAAAACACATATATAGGCGCGGTACGAGACACCTTCGACACGTTCGGCAATTTTCTCCTCCGACTCTTTTTTTTTTTCGGACGCCGCGCTTACTTGTCCCCGCTTACTTCCGGATTAAAAATTCATGCTACCACTCGGCCGAAATTTATCCCCGATTGCTACCTGTCCCCTGAAATGACGGCTGGTCAATTACGATGGTCCTTTCTCCTATATACCCTCTTTGTTCGGTAAACGACATTCCACGTGGGAATTCGTCACGAAAATCGTTAGTCGATAAAAAATGTTTCTTTTCCATTTCTTCATAATTTGAGAAATATTGATAATAAACTTTGAATCATTTCTTGAAGCGGGATAAAATAGTTGAGAAGCGTATTTGTCGCGGCAGTAAGAATTAATTCTCATGACGCATAGACGAGACTTTATTCTCCCCTCCGGCTGGATGCGTTCGCGCAAATGCATATGCCTTCATCGCAATATGTCACATTTTTAGCGCCCCGTCGCGTCGCGTCGAATCCGGTCACAGATGCGTCGCCGAAGAGCGGCGGGCCGATACGATCTGGGAGAAAACAAAAGGCGGCCACCAGGTATACGCACGCGGGTGCGCGCGCCACCCCGTATATAATAAAGTCGTGGCACATATTGCCCCGGTGGTGTTCCCTCTTCCTCCTTTTGTGCGTCTCTCTACCTATCGTACATACACGTATATATATATCGAGCTAACGTCGGGAATTCCACGCGCACACGTACACGCGCACGCACACGCGTGCGCCGTGAATTTCTGCGACGACGAGTTTCGATCAGGCGAGATAGCAAGGGTTGAAACCCCCTCCATCCCGGTTGGTTGCGACCGTTCCGCCATGTTTGATCCTTCGCGAAGATAGGCCGGTTCGAACAGCTGGGAAATTTTCGTTTTTTTTTTTTTTTAAACCTCTCTTTCTCTCGCTCTACGCCCCTCCTCACCGTTCGCGCTAAGGGCGGCTTTTATATACCTTCGCAACAACACGTGGGATGGAATGCCGCGATATGGCGCCGATCTGCCGTTTATCGTGAAAGAACGCGCGGCGGAGTGCGAAGACTAGTTTCGGCATAATTCCTGCTAACTGACGTAATGTTAGTGTATTAATTCGTCTGATGTAATATAATTGCGAAAGTAACGAGGTTTATGTAATTTACATTCGCGATTATTGCTAGCACGTGGACGCGCTCGTCGATAAAAACGATCTCATCCGGTATATAATCAAATTTTCAATTTACCAATTTATAACAATATAAATCAATATCGATATATATAATACACAGATGAATATAATATATTAATATAATTGTTCGCGACGTGAGAAAGTAATGAGATGTCATGTGTTCGCTACCGGGACCTTCGTCGACGACGTCGCGCGAAGAGAGAGACCGAGATGATCCTTTACCGCGAGTTCTCGTAGCGGACCGAGAAAAAGGAGGAAGGAGAGAAAGAGAAAGATTAACCTTCTGGGCGCAGAGTCGCTCGTTAACGACTGTCCTACACACGCTCTCCCTTCGCGATTCCTCTGGCGATGCTTATCTGCGCCCATGCCGTGCAACGATCGTCGACGCGGTCGTTACGCTCCTCCAGGCGTTCCTGGACATTCCAGCGGAAGCTGCGGCTGCCACTGCTGCAACCCTCGACGTTGACCTTGCTAAAGACGCGTAGCGCGATGGTCGTCGAGGTTAAGATTGTTTGAAAATGAGAGGAGACTGATCGGAAATGATTTCTAGTGTCTTGGAGAACCTGAAGAAATTTCGAGAAATCATTATTCGAGAGGAGTGGCAAAGTGATCCCGAACTTTGCGATTTTATCTGCGCGCGACTCTTCGGGAAGCCAAGATGGCGCGCGTTAGAAGAAGGGTGAAAGGTTATCCTCGTCGATCTTCTCGCGAAAAATATGAATAGTCGAAATTGTCCGACGCCTCGCTCGCGCATTGTGCGTCTTCGGAGCGTTATGCTAGGAAAAAAGAGCGCATTCATTTACGCGGCATCCATTCTCCTTCCCGTTAGAATAATTACAATGACACTAGTAACTTGATTTTCCGATGGCTTTGTGACTGGAAAAAAAATTTATCTCCCCCTTTCGATCTCAAATCTTCAGGCTAACATCTACTTTGATATATACTCGAAGCACGCAGTCGTATGCATATCACTTTCTTTCTTCGCAAACTATTTAATCTCCAAATATGATTGTACACAAAGGTAGGAGGACAGTTCCTGTAAATAGAATCAAAGTTTTTTTTTTTTCACAGAATAATCGTGAAAAAAAATTGGAATTGAAAATGAGAGGAAAATATTACGCGGTGAATGTTAATGAGATGTAATGCGATTATAATTTTACAAGACTTAATT